GTGCTTCAGCTATCCCTGTATGTTTCAAGTGAATACTCTGGGTTCAGGCACCTCCCTGTGTTGTCGTTGGGTTTCAGGTTCTGCAATTTCCTCCCACAGTCCAAAAACATGCTAATGTTAATTAGAGTTACCAAATTACCCATATACATTAATGGTGTGTGCGCCCTGCGATGGATTGGTGCCCCATCCTGGGTAATTCCCAGGTAATTTTATCAATCCAGCAGGCCCTAAATCCGAAGCCAAGCTGATAAGTATGAATTAATGTGACTGTGAGGTTCTTAACTGTGGTCAGTCTGTCTGCATACAGATACGACAGCTTGTTTCAATTCACTTGCACAAGGGTCAAGTTATTAGGCACTAAAAATGAAACAAATGGCAGTTTATTGTGACATGAGGAAGAATCTCCCACCTGCGATGGCCAGGGCATCCTGGTGCTCCTGATAGCAGGAGAAGAGGATGTTGGGACTCAGGTCCTTGCTGGGGAACTGCTCCCAAGGGGGGGTGAGGTCCACCTGTTTGTCTGTGCTTTCCACTTCGATGTCCAGCACCACGTGGAACAGCTGGGGGTACTTCTCAGGCGAATCGCAGGCGTCTAGTTCCGGCCTACAGAGACACACAGACTCCGATTACCACACACCTGTCCAATGAACAAACTGAGCTGCCCAAAAGATGCTACAAAAGCCAATACAGTGTTGGTTTACATCTTGTTTACACAGATGAGGATTTTAACCAAAGAGAACGGACACTTCTTATGGCTGTAACAGTAGAAGTTCTCTTAGCATTCCAACTGCCAGACACCCACTTCCTTAGAGACTATAGCGTCCGTTGGCCAAGTCACTACAATAAAATAAGCAAAAATGCTGCTGGCCCTCTACAGAGGTTCTCTCATTCACTCAAGGCTTGTGTTTGACAAACAGGACATGGACCAATCAAAATAAAATGTCTGTCAGTGGATTAACGCTTCCAAAGCACTGAGGGAACTGTTTAGGTGCATCCAGCTGAAGACACACAGGTGAAGCCACTTTGGGGAAAAATGACTTACTTTGTAAACTTCAAGACTGTCGTGCCTGGAGAGATGAACCCAGTGTGGAACTGTATCTGAAATATCTGAGTGTTGGTCACCTAAGCAACAATAATAAAATTGTGTCAATACCACAGACATTGGGTATATTGGGATATTTTTTGGAAAATATCATCATAGTGTTTATTATTGTCAATAGACATTGTATTGATATAATCTGCAATATAAAACATGAAAAATAACAGCGACAGACTGTGCTGAGATGTTACGGCTCAGGCCTACCGTGCCCTGGAGCCTGTCTCCGATGGTAGACCTCATATGAAACACAGAGACCACCACATCCCCATGAACATTCACACCAAGGGGGAAGACCACTTTCCCCTCCTGCACCCGGTTCTCTCTGGGGGAAGAGACAGCGAAAGATAAAAGGCCGTCACATCAGCAGCAGAGTTGCCAGCTCTCACGCATCTGGCATGACACTGTCACGCAAGAAATCTATATAATTCCATTATAAACCTAAAATTAGCCACATCCGAATCGTTGGGCTAGTTTGCAAACCCTAAAGACGGTTTACTAAGGTAATAAAACTGTCGTCTCGAATTGAAAATCTCACACCAGCCAAAGGACCAAAGATAGCAACCCTGCAGAGCGCTAGCACGCTAAAGGGTTAGCGTCCCTGCAAGCCACCAGCGTGTAAATGGGGGATGATGTCATTGTTTTAGCCGGTCACATGCTGTTACGGCCCAGAGCACCACAACTACGGGCAGGCAGCTAAGAACAATAATGGCACGCGGGATATGACTACCTAAAATGGCTTCTCTCATTTTAGATTCCCTGTAACAGACCGCAGGGGTTTGTAGTTTGCCAGGGTGCCGCACACCTCATCCTCTCATAGTCTTGCGCGGTAGAGAAGGTCTTGGTATCGCCGACGAGGACGTCGCAGTAGGGACGGCAGCCAGTGCGCTGCTTGTTGAAGCAGGGAACGGGAGCCATGGTGACGGCTTTGATGACCAAGGGCTTGCAGTGGGGCAGCTTAGGGTTCTCCGACACCATGCTGCACATGTAGCCAACGTACCTGGAGAACCAGGGGGTCCGGACGCATTAGAACCCATAGGACTTATTCTACCATTACTACCATTATGAAGATCATCCTGCTCCTACTTAATTGTTTCAATATCCTATCAAAATGTCAATCTAAATGCCACAAATTACCAGAATTTTTTTTTTTTTTTTAGAGAGAAATTTCCAGAAAGCTATAATAAGACCATGATTTTTTTTTAGCAGATCTAGCTATGCGTAGCTCTGTGCAGCTGAGAGGTCAACATATCTGCACCTACTGTTTGTGTGAGGGCCAGAGGCCTGCTCCAGGTTTCTTGGCACCAAACAGCTGCATTGCAGGTACGGGGTTGTTGAAGAGATGACAGAAGCAGAACATGGCACAGACCAGAACACCAGGGGGCGCTCTTCCTTCCTGAGAAATGGGCAACAGTCATTCGGCTACAAGGCAATAACACAAAACCAAAACAGGAAATAGTCATGAAGTGTTGATTTATAAGTGCAACCTAGAAAAAAAAGCAGATCTTACACAGCTTCCAACCATAGACTGGAAAGTTAAATGTGACAAAGGATGGTGCACACCCTAACACGGACAAAAGGACTGTGCACGTGACATTTTTGAGGACACCAATGACAGCTTGGGTGGGTTACCGTGCAGGTGATGACACAGACGTTTTTGGGGTTCTGGCGCAGCCAGTGGTGCATGTTCTTGCAGACGGCAAAGAGGTTGTGGAGACTCGGGGCATGTCTGGCCGGCCAGTTGCACTCAGACACCTGAGGAATGGGAGGGAGATGGGAGTTGCGCACTGGAAAAACACTTCGGGGTGATACACAATCCGCATCGACAGTCATGCACGAAGGCGGCGATTTTAAAAAGGCACAAGAGAATGATGCAACGAAATTCACGCGGGCGTGACCGCTTCCCAAATATGTTTAATAAAACTGCTCAGGATTATGAAGAACGGTGAAAAGCAAATTAATTTCAGCAGAAAGACAGTGGTCCTGGTTATCTAAAGTTAAACGGAAGTTCACAGGAACATCCCTGAACAGGAAACAGCCGGTCTGCATTCTTTCTGAAAGGCTGGTAAGAAAGGAGATGTCGTACTGGGGGATCTTTCAGAAGCCAATAATCTTTTTTATGAGTTTCCTCAAGAGATCATCTTTTGTTGGATCCAGGGTAGTGAACAAAAAAGGGATCAACGTCAGGCTATTAGTCAACCTGTTGACTAATATCAATTCTGTTACAGAAAAACATCATCTTGGCTGCCATTGACATGACTTCATCAGTCAAAAATAGACTGCGTATCATAAAACGGGATGAGCTTCCCCAAGAGAACAAGTTTTGTATCTCTGATTGCTGAAAGCAACTCCTTTGTCCATTGACGATGAAAGACGACCTACCTGTTCCACTACTGAGGGCGAGACAGCAATGGAAAATAATGCATCATAAACGGCAGAATTTCATAATGCCAAGCCACCGCACAGCTGCAGTACACCCCTCCCACAAAGAATCCAAGGGACGTTCAGTACTTGAGAAACTTTATTAAGGACAAAAACCCTTATGATGTTACTGGAGGAACCATTAACAAATACTATCCTATAGAGTCCTTATAAGGACTAAAGGATCAAACAAACTGTACTTCTTTACAAAGGAAAGCCGGGCTATTTAAGAAACGAAACAAACAAACGAAATTCAGAAAAATCAGTCATATTTAATGGGGATACTTTGCCTTTAAGGCACTTATATATTTAAACAGATGCTTTTATCTAAAGCGACATTCAACTGAGAAAGCAGAGTCATGTGGTTCCTGGAGCGACTGGGATTAAGGGCTCTGCTGAAGAGCCCAACGGTGAAATTACTCTGCCGTTTTAGGATTTGACCCAGCAACCTTCCGGTCACAAGCCCACATTGAGTTACACACCTTTGAGTGGGATAAATGGATAAATGACAGATGGTGGTGGGGATATGATATTGGCCTGAGGCAGAAAGAGGGTGAAATTTACTTCCTCAAGGTGTTTTTTGTGAAACAGTTGTGGATCCAACATCAGAACATACTACCAATGGGGTTAAAAAAAAAAAAAAAAACCAGCTGAAGCTTGAATGACTTCACAGAAAGATACCTGCTTGTCTGTGACTCAGAGGCATCGTGTCTGACATAATTTAGAAGATCATCCACCCCACATTTCATTATACACTGAACCCCAGTTACTGAGATATTAAGAATGGCCCAAACTGTGAAACATATTATAAAAAATTTATTTGTTTTGAGATAACCAGGGTCAAATATAAAATTACCAAATTTCCATATTTTTCCAAGAGACTTCAAGAGACCTTCTTCCTCAGTCTGAAAGGCTTATATATTAGTTGTAAAAAAAATCTATAATTCCCTTGTTGGAGTTACTCAGGGATAGAGATATGCTGAGGAATTCTAATGAGTGAAATAAATAAATATTAGAGACTCCACTTCGCATTTAGAAAGCTACAAACATGCATTTATAAGAATGTTCGTTTGAAAATTGCATCAGTTTATAAAACCTGTCGCAAAATTATTAACAGGATTCAACAAAAGCAAAGCTCGTCAATGTTTTGGGAAATGGTAATCACGTTCAGAACATCCTTAAGAAACCGCAGAGAGGCACCTTTGCAAAGCACACACACACACACCACATCTAGATCTCTAACTGCGATTCAGACTGCGAGTTGTCCTCACCCGGTTCGAAAACCTGGCTCCTCTGTAACTTCTCGGTGACAGGTTGAAGACTGTGTAGTGGTCCGTATGCCTAGAGTCGAGGAATGAACGTACATCCTCGATATGGTTCCTATAGCCAGCCTCCATGGCCTCGGGAGGATATGACATTACTGCCAGGGAAAACGACAACAAACAGAGGCTACAAAGAGCAAAAAGACACTCATAATAAGATTAAAAGGATTAGTCCCCAGGTTATGAATGAGTCTTAAAGTCTGTCTAAGTCGAATTTGTAGGTAGGTTGGAAAAATAATAACTGTACGTAACAGTAATGATAACAAAGATGATTACAGTAGTCAGAGTAAAAGTAACCACATATGGTATTGTACTAAACCTCAAGCTACCGAAGCCGCGCCATATTTACACAGGCTTCCCAAAGCAGTGTGTGCGTTCGTTATTACGAATCATTGTATTTAACTCACATTTTTTATATAACAGGCTTTATGGAAGTCCATTTGCCTGAATAGGATGAGCGCTTACAGAAATCGGACGGATGGATGGATAGACAAATGGACGGACGGACGGACAGATGGATGTCCGTTCGTAGTTGAGCGCCCTTATCCCAGGGACTGCCGTACATGACCACAGATCAGTATACCAGTGCTTTCGAAGTTACACAAAGAGCATCTCTGTGCTGATGTTTACACTTGGGAATACTATAGCGATGAGCAGCCACTCTGTTGCAGAAAAGTCAGGCCACACTCACCTATAACACGTGAGGTGACGTAGGAAATGTCCAGTTCTCCTTTTGCATAACTGAAATAGAAATAGACTATTTAAACAAACGAAGTACATTTTTGCTGGGATGTACTGCTGTGGAATTACAGTACATGAAAGCTAAAAGCAGTTTAATCAGAGACTAGATTTTAAGCAAGTCTGTGTCACGCATGCTGATATGCAGGTCCAGACAAGTCCTCAGGCATTTTCTGGTGTGTTTATGTCGTACAGAATATGAACCTGTACAGGGAAGTATTTGGTCTAGTTATATCTGGAAGAATTCAAGTCTGATTACATTTGGAAGTATCAGACAATACCACAAATGAAATCAGAACGTAACAAACTCAGAAAAAATAAATAAATCATTCAAAAATGCGGAAAAACTGATCGATTACTAGGACTGTATCTGATCGTATCTGGTTCTTTCAGGTGTAAAATTCATTGAGGTGAATCTACTGGTAGGTGAAGACTGTATGGAACCTTTGTGCTCTCTGAACCGGATCAGGTGCTTATCACAGACTCCTGTCTCCTGCACTTCCTGTTTTGGAAGTAACCCGAAAGAATACGTGGGACGGAGGGCCTCATATGGGGTGAGCCGAACCCTCACGCTGGTCTTTGCCCAAACATATTCACAAAGAATTCTATTCAGAGATTCCAGTGACTCACATGCTGTTAATATTTATTTCTTGCATTACTCAGATTTCCAATATAAATTTTCATCCTGAAAGAATAACACTGTTGAGCGTCATGCAGTATTGCGACATCAAAGGAAATGCCTGTCACAAAATTGCCAGGGCTGGACTGGGATTTGGGATTAAGAAACGAACCTGAATCACACACACATACCCCTGAAATGTTTCTAATGGGGGGGGGGGGAAGGGAGGTCCCCACAATAAATTTTACTGGGGAGGGGGCAAGGGGAGTCCCACAATAAAGTCTTGCTGGCCCAAAAACCCACTTCCCAGGCATGGGGAAAATGCCTGCTGTGCCAGATGGCCAGTCAAGGCCTGTGTTTACAGAATAAGAGTACATCTGAAAAACGTGTTGACAGAGCATGATTTTACAATGTTCTTTGTACAAGTGATGAACTATGGGATGGTCATCTGATATTATGTGGTGCTACAAGCAGCTTTTTAAAAAATAAATTACTGACGGCAACATTGGTGGCACCTCCAGTGACCAAGGGTCACACTTCCTCATCTACGTATATAAAGCCCCTTTTCTGCATTGTGGATACTGATAGGGGAGTTTTCAAAAATCTTCCAGTTTAGTGAACATGCCACGAGTTTCTTTGGCTGTGACTTTCGTTTTTAATCTGTGGGATTGTTGGAGTTTCTGCCCCAGGGAGGCTGTGACAGAGCAGGAGGAGCTCAGCTCACTGATGAGGATGCCCTGCTGTGCTGTGCTGTGCTGTGCTGTGCTCTGCTGTGCTGTGCTGTGCTGTGCTCTGATCGCCCTCCCTTCTAATCACCAGAATGTGCTTCCCCTTTGAAAAGCTGCATATACCATGTAACAGTTCTTGGGAAAATTGATAATTAGATTTCCACAATCGCCGCATCGAACTTTTTGATACTTAAATCCAGGATTAGCAGGACAATACAAATTATTGGAATCAATTCGCCCTCTTATGTTCTATTCAGTTCCCACAATAAACAAACAAATATTACAATAATTATTCTTGACCACAAAGAAATCCTATTTTAAAGAAAATATCCACAGAAATTCAAACCTAAATTTTGAGTTGGAAAAAAAAAAATGACTTGGAGTTCAGATCATGCAAGTAGGTAGCATGTGATCACTGGGTAAGGATCCATTATAACTTCAGCTATGCCCTGTGTATGTAGCGCCCTCTGAAGACTGGGAGGACCAGACCCTTTTCAAGACCATAATCCATGTTAAGATGCCCCAGGATCATTCCAGGAGCCTTGGAAAAAAAAAAAAGAAACAAAATGGAGAAGACTTACGTTGCAACTTGGTGCATAACTTTTGTTGAAGTGTCTTTCAGGGTGTCCTTCAGGTTGTCCTTAAAGCTGCTGAACAGCTTGCCGGCCCCACCCTTAACCATGTCCAGCAGCCCGCCTGCATCTATGAGGTTGACCACCAACAACAATCCCATGGAAAACCCATCCTTCAAACAAGTTATTGCATCATGTAATCAGCAGTTACTTCATCTGTAATGCAGCAGCAGACATTTAATCCACACCACCAAATAATCCCATCAAGCTACAGCTTCCTTTAGTCTAGTCAACAATCTAACATTATTATTATTTTGCTTAAAAATGCCCACATTAATACATGCAAGAAAGCACAGGATTTTAAAGTTGGAAGAAGAGCCTGATGGGAAATGTAGTCCTGGCTCTGATATTTTATTGCAAATGTAGGGAACTACAGCTCATCATTGTGCCGCACCATTCATTAAACATCAGCACATTTAATTCCATCAGGAGCTGCAAATGAAACAGGGGGGGGGGGGAAATGATGCAACTCATCTTCAGTATTTCCCTTGAAAATTTTTACTTTTAAATGTCACAATCTTTTTCCGATAAGTATTTATCTATATAGATTTGGAATGACATGAAAATTATCTTGGAAATATCCTGAAATGTAGGACAGGAAACGCCCATGACTGCAGACTTACACAGAGTACACATGTAAACACTCAAACCCCACAGGTTTGACATTCAGACAGTCAACCTGCATCCCAGGAAGAAGACGACAACTGGAAAACATCCTAGGAGCAAAACGCGCAACTTTACACGTGACACCAACGCTGGATTCCAACGAAGCAGCTTATGGTAAAATGTTCTTAATCATTAAAACTGAGTCACGGTTTATAATAAACACATAACAGTTTCTGTAACCAGATAGTACAACAAAATGAGCGACCCCATTCCTGTGGCATGATAATTCTCTGTGGGAATTATGTAATATTATATTAGTCAGTGCAATTAAAAACATGACTTGGCTTGACAAATAATACAAAACCCATTACTGCTACAGTAATGTCTCAATAAAATACTTGCCTATACAAGAACAATTATCTTTGTGCCTCACACAAGCAAGGCGAGAAATCGCATTCTTGTTCTAAGACTTCTTAAGGGTTCTGTGGATTTACATTTTATTTCAAGCCCTTTAAGTTATGAATCTATATTGTTAACCTGCTGTTTAACATGTAGTACGTTAGCAGGGATTCTGGGAAGAGCACATGACATAGCTATTTTGAATCTTGCCCATAAAGTGATGTGCTCTAACCATCTTTCTTGAATAATATGATATGCAATTTAATCTATTTCTACGATTGCCGAGATGGCCTGGCATGTGGTGCTAATCATCATACTTAAAGCATACAAAATACAGGAAGACAGTATCTATTTCTTGCCTTCCTGCCGTGCTTATGCTAAGAATCAGAATCTTTGTTCTGGTAAAAATGTCACTTTTGGGCAGTGTAAGTTGTTGAAGGGTTGCCCATCAGCTCAGCGGGTAGTTGCCCATCAGCTCAGTGGGTAGCATTCCCACTGCTGTTCAGCGCCCCCATGGCTGGGGCTCGAAACCCTGCCCCTCCAGTCCCCCTCCGGTCCAAAATTGTACAATCAGATGCATTGGAGACCCAAAATTAGTCTTACCGTGAGGCTGTGTGTATGAGAACCTGCCCAGCGCCCTTCCCATTTAGCTAATCACTTCACAGATTTTCGGCAATGAGTGTAGGAATATATTCATGTTTCCCCCAGTCTTTCAAATACTGTGAAAAATATCTACTTTGCAGTCATCATGCTACGTTTTCCATTACACCCTCTATGATACTCTTGGCAATGGAAGTAACGATCTGGGTTTAGGTGTGTGTTTTAACTATGAACTAGTTTCTGTTGATGTCCATGATATAGGAAGGAGTAACATATGTAGGTGTACAACATAAAATAGCCGCCTGTGGAATCAAAGGGCTTACCTGAGCTGTCCATGGTGCTATGGCAATTGGGTCGAACTCCAAAGATGACCACTGATGAACTCACACCGTTGAAGTCACAGATATACTTGACCCGCTGCGAAGAATGACATCCACAAAGTTGCCCAAATGTGATACTAATGATGTTACTCACAATCATTAGAAATTACTAAATAAATATCTCAATAATATTTAATTGCATTTGACTGCTTACTCTAATGAACATTACCATCACAATGGATGCCACCTTTTGTAGTCAATATAGGTAATTTGTGCTCCGGACAAATATTGATATTACAAGTACAAGAGATGACTGCACAATACTGGGTATGAGATAAGCTAGTATATTTGGAACTTCAAACAATCTGTCAATGTATTATTCATATTTTTGTATTTGTTTTTGAGAACTTGCACATTAATAAAATAGTAAACACTTATAAAGCAAAAGCTGTCTTTTAAACTATCCATATTAACAGCATGAATATAGTAACTGCAATAAATATGACAAGTACATTTCCAAATAAATCCACTTTAATGGTATATTTAGAATATCTTCTATGATTATATTTTGTATGACATACCGTTACTGTTAGACCACAGATCTTCCTAATTAATTTTTTTTTCTTTTCTCGGAAACAGCACCTGTTGTAACATCTGTACAGCCACTGGTTTCTGCTATATGGCATAACTTTCCCTACGTTGAATCGCTGCTTTAATAAAAACATACAAATTGTGTCCACATCATATAAATCAATGAGAAACACAATCCGTGTGATTTTCCGCGCATACAGAAAATGCCGTGGAAAGTTGTGCCATATATGAATATGACAAACAGATTCACATAAATATTTTTATAAATTACTGAAGAAATACTTGCGTTTAAACTTGACGTCGATTTTCACTTTTATATCCTAGAGCAGTGGTGGGCAATCTTATCCGCAAAGGGCCGGTGTGTGTGCAGGTTTTTGGGATAACCAGTAGGTCAGCTGTTCAAACCCAGGTGTGAGGACTCTTCAGCCAATCAGTCCTCTAATTAGTGACATAATTAGGAAGTTGCAGTGAAAACCCGCATACACACCGGCCCTTTGTGGATAAGATTGCCCACCCCTGTCCTAGAGAGACAAACTTTTCAGTCTCACTGTTCCTCTCAACATCAAACACTGCAAACAAATCCATCCTGCAATTTCAGCTAAACAGCAGCAAGCAGTTAATGATTTAAAACAGTTTAATGGAAAAATGGAGGTTTATTGACTGCAAAGTCCATCTCTTATAGTACAATATGGAACAAATGAAGACATTGAAAAATCACAGGAATGATCTTACGGTAAGTTTCGACTGGTAAACTACTGGAACTAAGGATCAACCAACCAAATGAAAAACCACAGGTAATTTTAGAACGGTCTTTGCACTGCTGCAGTCACAATGGCTTTATAGTGGTTCAGAAGATTAGCAATAATTACAAGGTGACACAAATTAAAGCTGAAGGTAAAACTTAACCAAGAAAACATTTACACTGCTCTATTTTTCTTAGGATTAAACCACATTGTTTAGCACTTGCTATTTTCAATTAAACATCTGATGTCTTGGGTACTCTCACTAATTTCCTCTCACGTTCCAAAGACATGCGGCTAGGATAACTGGCATCTCTAAATTGCACATAGGAGTATGTATGTATGGCAAATTGCCCATAGGAGTATGTATGTATGGCAAATTGCCCATAGGAGTATGTATGTATGGCAAATTGCCCATAGGAGTATGTATGGCCTGGTGTCCCATCCAGGGTGCACCCCCTGCCTTCTGACCTATGCTATCTGAGAGGCCCCAGGACCCCCTGTGAGCCTGACTAGAATATATAAGGGGTTAGAAAATGGATGGGCTATATCTCACGTTATTGTTGCCATTATTATTAACTAGCACTAGCATAAATATCATTATTAGCCAGAAATGACTGACCAGAGTAATTTACTTTGCAGACAAATGCTCCACAATTATGTCATGGAGCATCAACACTGGTAACAATTCTTGTGTAATACTGCCTTCGAATTTATCAGTAAAGTATTACCGTAGTGTGATTAATCACCACATGGAATACCCTACACCTTTATAGAAAAATACAGATAACATACAATAGATATATAACTGTATTGTGTATTTCTGATTATTTTTAAAATCAGTAGAGGAACTACATTTCTAAAATACTACATTTAGAAAACAAGCTATGTACCAGTGCAGTAATATACTAGTCTAGTTCATAGTTGAACTACTCAAGAAATTCAAAATTCAAGCATTTCCCTTCTAGGATCAATAAAGTTAATCTAATCTAATGAAATTTAACTTGGATGAATTACTCATTATCCAGGTTGACACACTTAGAGTAAGCAGTTTTACGTGGTCTTCTGTCGCACAGCCTAACACCGGCCCCTGTTCCGTTTATGCTATACGTAATACTAATGTCAGAAAACAGACATGTTGGTTTAAAGGTACTTCATGTCAGAGTAAATCCATCGATATATACTCTAGTCCTGTCGGCTTTAATCGAAGTCAAATTAAAGCCTATTTGGACGTCCTGTCGTCTACGAACAAACACAGCTGTATGCTTAAATATGAATGGCGCGGTCAGCCTGACAGGTGCTGGACTGTCGGGACCCCAAAGGGATGCAATATTAAGTTTTCTGATCATTATGTCGCGTTATCTGCGCCCTGAGGACAAATATGGACTGCTAGAACTACAGATTATAATCCAGTCCAACTAAACTGAAATGCGTTAAGGCTGTTACTTAGGAAGACGCAATGAATGGTCACACCTTGGGTGCGTGCGCGCATAAATGTTTAAAGGTTCACCCGAGTATCCCGACCGGAGCCGCGGCCGGCGAGCTCATGCGATGAAGCCAAGAATCGAACTTCTTTCCTGTTTAAACCATAAAGTGTAAATATTGCACGATACACTGAAACATCCCCTGCGCCTTTGATAAAGCTGAAGAGAATGGTAAAAATGTAAAAGGGTACCGTCGCCATTTCACATATGATCCCATATATGAACCGCTAAAATGTATTTTAGCTGCAGATCTTCAGGATCTTCATAAAAGGTGCAGATCGTATGGTTAATATTTATATTGATCTCTAAAAAAAAAGATTCTCCTTGCCAAAACATTACATGAACACCTCATCTAGCTTTCACCTTGTATGTTCCGGAGTAAAATGGAGCATCGCTGCAAAGACTATATGATACGTACAGGATACGTAAGCGCCAAAGCATCAGATAAAAACCACGACGTGTTTTACACAGAAGAGGCAAATAAAATAAAACGATGTATCCAGTGATCCAGTTTATAACATTACTTTTGTAAAAAAAAAAAAAAAACTAAAAAAAAAATTGCTACAGCGGAATTATTTCCACGAATCGTTTCATTGAACCTAACGTCGAATGAAAATAAACATTTTTGTCAATATTGTAGCCTACAATTTGCATCGATTTCAAAAACTATCAAAGGAATCACCTATATTCGCTTCACTGACTGTTGTCCCAGTACATTTAAATTAGACATGGCAAATAATAGCGAGACGCATTTCGTGATAAATCGTCCAATGCGGAATCATAAACCGGCACCGTCATACTGCAGTTTCATAACAGAGATATAAGTGATTTTTAAATCGCCATACCTATTTGAGAGCTTTCTTTCATCGTCGTCCTGTGCGCCGCGTCTCCAGCCGCAGAATCGCAGGGACAGCAGCTGATGTCAAGGCTGCTGACCTTTGCTTTGTCATTCACGGCAAGTCAAAGGTCAGCGAGCGTGTCCGCTTCTTACGCACTCTTCCATATTATAGTATAACGGATGTGTCCTCATAATAATAATAATATGTATAATATATAATAGATCAACAATTCAAAAACGGAGTTGATTTTAACTCAATATATATGGTGAAAAACACGGACTGGATTTTTGATTCCGGCAATATTCATATAGATGTTAGCGGAGCGAATGGGCTAGGCGTTTGAGGTGTACATCCACGATTATTGGTGCAATGATTGGCCTACCCAGCGCCAGTATACAAAGACATGGAAACCGCAAACAGAAATACATTGGATTTTAAATTAAATATAGATAAAGGAATAGACAAGGCGGCGCGGTTCTATCTGTCATTCCACACTAAAAAAAATATTTTCGAGATGAAGAAATAACTAAAAAATTATATTAGAAAAACAAGAGGTAGAAAAACATAATGTCTTATCTTGTAAGATGCCCATCATCATGATTTTCAAATTCAAGTCCACTGATTCTTACAATGCAGTTTCTAATGCTCTATAGCTTAGAATTCACTCACTGAATATTGTTTAAGTTTTAGGAGTTCATTCCTTATCACTACAATGGATTGTCATCTCTCCCATTGTATACACATGCCTTTGCCTGTCAATGTAATTTTAATTTGATGACATTATTGAATGTGCCTCACATCAATTTTATTGTGTTTCTAACTATACTGAATCCATTGCAAGCTGGTATTGCAATAAGATCACACGTCATGGCTGAACTAATTTTTTTCAGTCTTCCAGGATTAGGATTATCTGTTTGTCTCTTCATTTGTGAGCAAGTATATGTACCTATACAATATGACACTTTGTGGCTTCATTGTGACGTAATGACTTTTTTTTGTGTGGGCCTTTCTTAAGATAAAAAAATAGAAATAATAAATTCAAAATGGCTGTATGAGTCCACCTGTCTTTCTGCATCTTGATAGAGATGTTTGCATTAGTGTTATAGTTAGAGATCAGAACTTATTTACGTTGCTAGCTGATATTAGGCAGAAATATGAGCTTTGACGGGGAGAAGCGAGCTCTGAATGCAAAAAAAATGAAGGCTAAAAAATTGCCATTAATCAGTGGTTTACCTATCAAATCCATACTTCTATTAAATTGTAGGCACTGTGGAAACACACACTTCAACCCAATGTGACAAGGTAAGATGTTGGTTCTTACTTTTTTAACAGGTATGTGTCACTTTCCGTCAGAGCACTACAAAGTAAACAGAAAACCGCTCTGATGCCACAAACAAACGTCAAACAAGTCTGAAGATGCTTGACAACATTTGCACTCACCTGTTACAATAACAAATGTAGGCCCATACGTTGGATGACATATTCAAACCAGTACTAGAAAAAAATAAGCATGTATCAACACATGAGTGTTGTAAACATGCTCAAAAATGTATAACATAATAAGTCATATTGCAGACCTGTACCAGTCTCTGTCTCTTACCCCCTTTCCAGGTGCTTCTGCAGCCTGGTTGAACGTCACCATAGTGTGATCTGATGGTCAAAACCCCAAGAATAAAACCTTCAAGCATGTAATTGAAATTGCTTCATGAAACTTCCTAACAATGATATATGACATATGATATGTGTGCACACATGTGTATGTGTGTGTGTATTACATTAGTAGGGACAGAGTTTACAATGATATTCTATAAACATCCATGTAAACATTCATGCCATAATATGCAAACCTATAAATGGGAATAGATGTGGTGAAGATTTAATATAAAACTGAATGAAGGGAAATGTTTCACATATTTAGGGGCAATTACCAGCATAGTCCAACACAGCTGTTTTTCCGACTCAAATTACTAGACCAGACAAGAAGGATGAAATCAATTTAAAAGGTAGTCTTAAAACTGCACTAGGGCGGTTAAAATGGCTTATCTAATGCTGTTTGTATTAAGGAATGGTCTGTTTTAATCTGTTTCAGTGAAACTATGAGTTTGAATTTGCATTTTGTGTTTAGCTTCGGTAATAAGTGCAATGTTAGCACAATTTTTTTTTCACTATATACAAAGCAGCTTAACCTGTCTAACACAGATCATACACAGTCTGAAGCAGTCGCGCAAGGAGGGAAGCGCTTTTTTTTTTTTTTAATTTTGGCAGATTTAACCAATGACAGTTTACTGTCTTCATACTGAAAGCTACGCAGGCTCGCCCGCTGCACACCAGTGTGTCCGAATGATCGGGTGAAAAGTGGTCTCTGTAACGCTGAAGTGGCAGCAGGTATGTGAGATGGGTCCTCATAATATCCAACTCCAAACTGTGCAAAACAAGTGCAGAAGACACGAAAAGGAGGACTTCTGCTGCAGGACCCGGAAGCTTCTTTTTTGATTTGTCACATGGCTTACCGAGATATTTCAATAACAAAAAATGGCGACAATCACGTTGTTCAGTGTTGTTTTGCTGCGTCATTAAAATATTCACGTAAACACGGACAAGAAACAGAAAATTGCGGGTAAGGTGTTGCCAGATCTGTTAGATGAAACCTCTGACAAGTTACATGTAATGGTTTGGTAAATAGTGGTATTTGCGCTGGCTTTGAGGTTTGTTTACAGTTTTTGCAGTGAAGGGGTGTGTACGGTGTTGGGCGTTAGCTGTTGACTGCATGAAAGAAGACGACTTGCAGTTTAATTGATTTCAGCGTAGGCTTGCATTTTACATGCATATTGAAAAGCAACCATTATTTATGTACACCACAGTATATAGTGTACTGTACGTAACCATGAGTTTTTAGACGAGTCTATGCATTAAATGCGTGCATTAAAAGTCAAAACTGCTTTCAATCGTAATAATATTATAACATTCAATATATTTTATGTTTTTGAAAGTCGACTGTACATATTTTGTTTTGTTCTGCAGTATAGCCAAGTTGTCTTCCAGCGTACGTCTGTTTTCGTGTGCGTGCTTTTTAGTTTCAGGCATTTTAAGTGTAGAAAATTTTTGGCTAAGACCCCAGTTTGAGGAGAAGCAATCTGTATTTACAGTGCACGTAAACAACAAATGCGTTTGAAAAAATATATTGCGCAGATGCTTTAAAATAGGGTATTTTTGCCCTCGTCCCGTGAAATGTCACACGCAGCTAATCGAGTTGTTTACACGAAGGAGTAACCAGGGGGCGTGGTCGCAAGGGGAGGAGTTTCTTTTGTATGCAATGCGACTGGCTCGCTGCGGAAGAAGTTCGCAATGAGGGCGGGGCCAGCAGAGTATAATCATAACAAGTCTGACGTAAACCTCTCTTTGCATGAATAAATAATTGTTTTCGCATAATATAACGCTATAGTCGTAAATAATTGCCACTGCTCCCAGTCTCATTAATACGTTATTTTGCATTTCAGTAGCATATAATCCACATGCATAAATAACAAACGTTTTGAGTACCGTTTGTTTTTCGTGTGTTCATGATGGAAGTGTCTGGAGAAAACATTAAAATTAAAACCTCCGCTTCCAATGCATTACGTCCAAATTAAAAATAATCACAGTGCATGGTTATAATGAAAATTACCGATTCGTGTGCTCGCCAGAGATGTTTGAGCAAACAAACGTGTACACGATGTTTTTAACCCTTCATCATATTTTTATTATGGTAGACTGACACTAACAGTTCCCACCCAAAATCCCCTAAACATCGTTCTGTGTGGTTGCCCATAGGAAACAGCTCGCCTCATAAGTTCATTTTTACCCAGTAATTCTCTGAGAAAGCTTATTGCATGCGGACATAACACTAGATTCAAATAAATTCATGCATTTTGTATTCCTTGTAGACTTAAGAACAACATAATGTCTTATCTTGTAAGATGCCCATCATCATGATTTTCAAATTCAAGTCCGCTGATTCTTACAATGCAGTTTCTAATGCTCTATAGCTTAGAATTCACTCACTGCATATTGTTTAAGTTTTAGGAGTTCATTCCTTATCACTACAATGGATTGTCATCTCTCCCATTGTATACACATGCCTTTGCCTGTCAATGTAATTTTAATTTGATGACATTATTGAATGTGCCTCACATCAATTTTATTGTGTTTCTAACTATACTGAATCCATTGCAAGCTCACTGGTATTGCAATAATGTCACCCTGCAAAATGACTCCGACTTCATTTGTAAAGACTGCTGAAACGGGTGCCTCTCATTCATCAGCTGGGGAGGATTCAAGCGGAGACTTGATGTGACAGGCCGCCCTGGTTCAGTTATCACAGTGCTGATGCTGTCCATAGTAAAGGTACAGTACTGTGATAACTGAAGGATGGCGGCCATCTTGTCTTCAAGGCATCATTCCAGAAAATAATTATCCCTATTACTTTTATATGTGTTAAACAATGTGTGTATTTTTTTAAACCATCTATGTGCCCTTGTCACATAAAAAGTATAATTTGCCTTCAAAGTCATGAAAACATTTCCTTATTTAAACTACCAAAAGGAATTTATAACTTTTGCAGAAACTGACTGACTCCAAAGACACCATATAAGGTCACTTCCTCCTTGACTTTCTGAAAATAAGGAAGGGGCAATTTGAACAAAACAAAGAATCAGCCACTACACAAGGCTGCACATTAATATTTAAGAATTATTTTGTTTTGCAGATTTTGTTGGATAATGTGCGCAGAATCAGCACAACAGCATTTAATTTATTATTTTGTCCCACGGTGAAGTTTAGTATGTATGCACACACTCTTTAAAATAATGAAAAAAATGTAAATAAAATTTTGTTGAGTGATGGGAGTTTCCTTTATGCCAGCTGGGGAAAAAAAAGACCTTTCGGGTTTCATTTTCAAATAAATTAAATTCTACAAATGATCCTGAATGTGACTTCTGTATCACTACAGGTTAAATCTTGATTAATATATTTGTCCTTGTTAGGGAACCAAATGGCAGCACCGTTTAAATCACTACCATGACATTCAGTCTCAAATCGTTAGCAACACCTGCTACCTTCTGTGTACATTTTAGAGTTGGCAAGTTGCTTTGTGGATGAATGGCAACACTTCTGAAGCAGTAATTATAGATTAAAGATGTGTCAGTAGTTTATTGATAAGAAGACGTATATTATTAAAGTTTTTGAAGCACTCTAAATTTTATGCATTTAAAAATGAAGGGGAGCTCGACTGCCAGTTGGACA